TGATGAAAGTATATTCATAAAATGGCGACATTGTTAGCACTGAATTGTATGTGGACCGGATGTGTACAACGGAGTCGGGGTTGGGGGAGAAATTTATATTTGATACTGCACTTTATTTTACCTCCGTAAAAATTGACCTCGTTCGTCAGTTTCCAGTTGCTGCTGCTCATAGTTCAGCCAAGAAGAAAATGTCATTTCTAAAATTTAAGCAAATGTTTTACTGTATTGCGCGACACATTCTTTTTAGTTGGGTTATATCGTTGTTGCTCATACCTCCGTTATTTAACGCACCTGCGCTATACTAGATTTCTCGTGACGGTTTTGGCGAACAAAGAGTAACTGCGTATTTATGTAAGCTACAGCTCAAAATATCAAACGAATTCCCGCTTTTTTTTTTCTTTTTTTTCAGTAAATCATAAAACAAAAGTTTGCCCAGTTTCGAGTGTAGATTTGGTGAAACGAGTTCAATTTCTCAGGCTGCGGTAAGACGAAATTAGTAAGCTTGACTGGAACGACAAATCCCGTAGTTCGCAGAACGTACATTCTTGATCTGCGGACGCATGTGTCTCGCTGTCAACATTGTCGATGAAATTTATGAAAGGTCATTGGTCATGCGCATGCGACATTAAACGTATCGTGTCGGTGTACTGTCCCGAGTAGCCGGACAGCCTCGGTGTGAGCCCATCATAGTATCCTACATAGAAAAAAAAAACAAAAAAAAAACACTACTTATTGTTTTACGGGTGCCATACAACTTGTCTTTTTTTTTTTACATCTGAAGACTGGACTGCATGGACCGCCGAATACGCAGCGAAGAATCGCCAAACTTCACCGGGGAACGTCGCCGGTCAAAAGTCGTCGTTTCTAAGCAGAATGCTCGCTCCTTAGAGTGCAGTCTTTAAGGGTTTATCATAATCAGCAGTTTATAAACCTCTTTCGGTCACTCCTGTCCCCAGCCAAGTGGTTCCGGTATAGGGTATTCGAGGCAAAGTAATCTTTAAAAATTGATGTAAACTTGGGAGATCTAATATAAGGGCATAGGAAGGCGAAACAAGAACACGTTGCATGTATATGCTCTAAACGCGAAAACACTATATTGGCATGGCGAGAGCAAAACGATATTTTCACCTATACAAGAAGTTCCGCCATTCAAGATGGCAGTGGCTGCTAGAAGAGGATTCAGAGCCTGAATATCCAACGATTCGAAAGATCCAAGGTGTCGAAAGATCCACTGGTGGATCTTCTGCCCCGTTCGATATTCACTCACAGTGGACATTCTGTCACAATTGAACATTCCGTCAAGATGGATGCTCAGTCGCGGTGGACTTCCCAACCTGGTTCGATCTCTTGTCTCGCTAGTTGATCAAACTCGTTGTACATTTGGTCTCAGTTGGACATTCCTTCTCGCCTGCCATCTAACCAAGTGGATACCCTACGCGGCACGGCATTCAGCCTCAATCCTGTGCCTACCTGATTCGAGCAATGCGTTTCGGAATGATTACGTATCCCCCCCCCCCCCCCCCCCCCCCCCCCCCCGAGCTAGTAAATCTTCAAATATCTATAAAAGAATGTTGGTCGCTCAGGTGGATTCTAGCAATCTCTAATTTGCGAAAACATCTACAGTTGCTAAATAATATAAAGAGAGAGAGAGAAAAAAAAGACGGAACTTCCCGGAGCCTCAACTGCAAAACAAATAAAAACAATATTTTAGAAACATGTTTTATGTAGGTTATTGCTTTTTTAATACATTTTGTCGCACAAACGAAAGAGTTTAGTAGCTAGCCTTCAAGAATAAAATGTAAACACAGACAAGAATGAGTGATTTGGTGCACACCGGACTAACTGTTTACACAAAAACGCTATGGAGACTACGATTCGTAGAGTAATTGGTTTTTTTAACTCAGCAGGCGGCACCTTTCTCCACGTCTTCAAAAGGGGACAACGTGATCAGCGGAAAGCATGAAATATTTATGAGATTTATGCGTCATTAAACGATTACTGAAAGGACTGTTAAGTAACCTCTGGAAGCATACCAATGCTCGTGATTCTGTCCACGTAAGTGCAGACATGCTCGTATAGTGGCAGCATAACCACTGTTGAATGAGGCAAACACATCCATTCTTGCGTGGAGCCTCTCGTTTCTTGCCAATTAACACGAAGCTTGGTGTTATGATTATAATGCAATTAAATGCAAAGGTGCAAGCGAGCTGGACAAGAATGATGAAAATAATCCCTGGAAAAGGGAACAAGAGGGACAAAGGACAAACACAAATCTCTAAACGCAGCTAGGCGACTAGTGCGCGACCGAAAAAATCCGCCTGGTCCTGGTACCGAACCCGGGACCTCTCCATTTCCAGTGGAGCGCTCTACCAACTGAGCAAACCAGGGGTTAGATGTCAGCTGAGCAAACAGGTTTTATCAGCTGCCATCAGTCTAACACCAACAAATGTGAAAACTTGCATTCTAAGGTGCAAGCGAGCTGAACAAAAATGACGAGAATGTATTCTTGCCACAGCAAGCGGGCCCAGCAGAAAAGCCTGGATTCAATTATATTTAGCATGCTGCGTAACCTGAAGAACTTCAGGCTCCGTTTTTGGTATTTTCTTTACAAATTTTGCAGTAATTTGATTGGTTTATTTTTCAATGAAAATTTTTTGAACAGTAAAAATAAAAGCAAAAACAAAAAAAGTACTGGCAAATTAGTATGACAAGCAAAAAGTTAGAAAAATTGTCGTAATTAATGCATTAGGTTTCATACATTAAACACTGGCGCTTATGGAAGACGCTTACAGGCAACGCACGGTTAGTTTCATCACGTAGACCTTTCTGCTTTTCTTTTTTTTTAAACTTGGCTGGTTTTTTAATCGGACACCCTGTATATTTTTTGCCCGAGCAATGCATGAAACCAGCCTTTTTTTTTTTTGAGAGGCCAAAATATCAGGAACATTTATTTTAAATCCTTCACAAAATTGCGAGTATATCTCAGGCAAACTTTATTCCAGTGTTGCTTCCTCTCAACACCCGTTTATTCACACAGAACGAAGTCTGATCAGGAACGTGACTACTCAACTGCCAACTGCCATCTTATTTTTACCATACAGTTTCTTTAAGTTCTAACTTGGTCACCTTGCACAGCATGCAATAATATTCTACGTCTTCGCGGTTGACGCACGGGATATCCAGTATCAGGGGACATTCAGGCCTGGTTATATCTTCTGTCTCGTTGAATATTCAGAATTCAGACTCGTTGGACATTCCATCCCAATTGAACATTTCGTCTCGATGGATATTCCGTCTTGCCTGTCACGTGACCAATTGGATCTTTCGTCTCGGTGGATCTTCCGTCTCGTTGCATATTCAGGCCGTCAGTGCTAGAAAAGGTGTCAACGACATAAAAAAAAAAGGTCAAGGAACATGCAGTTCTCAGTGCATATGCAAACGTATCGCAATTCCCGGGCAAAAAATGCCTAACAAAAACTAAAAAAAAAAAAAAGTTATTTAACGTTTGTCAAAACCCAGCGTATAATAAACAGAAAGTAAAGGCGCGAACTAGCTGGTGAAGATTGGACATTATAACACTTGTAAGACAACGTTTTAAATATATATTTTATAATAGCGTTTTCTTTGGACAACAAAAGCACGACAAGGGTTAACAATCTGATTTAGTTATTCAAAAACATGATGAGTAAAAAGATGACGTCAGATATTCTTCAAACAAGATCTCGAAGAAACAATCATATTAAAGCTTCATCGCATCGTTTAAAGCGCGAATATTCACTCCGTGAGTGATATAGGACAGTCGTTAATTGTACAGTACCTCCAGAAAGGTTCAACATTTTTAATCGTGTACGTATACTGTGCCATATGCTTGGGCACAGACCTGATAAGAAATAGTCCATAAAATATAGGTGGCGCCTGTAGGGCTCAAACACTGAACCAATTTTCCCAGGAAATGAGCGAATCTCCTTCTGAGTGATAAAAGTATATACATTAAATGCCGAAATTGCTCGCTCTAAATTTTATGAGGGCCGGATGTATGAAACGGAAAACGAATATTGTATTTTTTTTCGAACTTCATTGTAATGCTACGAAAATTAGCCTCCTTCGGCCAGTATCCGGTTACTGTTCATAGCTAAACTCCAAAGGTCTGGATTTTCGAAAGCAAAGAAAAAGAAGAGGAAAATACTTTTGTAACTGTGAATTGGGCGACATCATTTTTATGGTTTGGTTGTTTATTGCTTTACTTATTTATCGCGCCCTTTATACCGAATGCCTCGGGACAATTTGAAGAAAAAACAACATAAAAAAGTAAAAAAAAAACCTAAAGTAGTCGTTTTAATTTAAGGAGCTATTTCTATTCCGTATTAAGCGAGTAAAACAATATATATATATATATATATATATATATATAAAAACTCGACAGTGTCTGCCTACTTTTTGGCGGGTGTATCGGTGCACGCTACTGCCACTCGCACTGACAGATGCACAGGCCCATTCAACGGAGGCATTCATTTGTTGCAACCAGCCCATTTAAAGTTGATGCACCCGTACGTTTTGGTGTTGCCACGGGTGTTCGGTCCCGTCAAATGCAAACAATATATGAATAAAAGGAAAGAAAGAAAGAAAGAAGAGATGGTGGGCCGTGGATCCAGGTTGCGAAGGCACCGGAAGACGGAAGTGGAGCAAGCGCCTTGCGCGTGCGTAGCAGCTGCCCGGGTCACGTGACGGGGAGCAGGTGGTCCCTGCAAAGAGCCGCAGTGGCGGACGCCCCAGCTGTCGCCGGCGGAAACAACAGAGGCACCCGCCCCGCCAAGGAAAATTCGAAACACACAAAGGAAAGGATGCATCACTGAAACAGGAACACACATAAAGAAAAAAGAAAAGGAGTGGAGCTATCAAAGACCGAGGCATTAGAGCCTGTGGGAGAGGAGGAAGGGCTCGCGTACCATTGTAACCGCGCCAGATCGGCCACAGTTGTCTTCGCCGAGGTTCAACTTGGAAAGGCGTTTAGCGGCACGCGCGGATTCGCTGGTTTTCTGAGGGTGTGAGTGGGTCGTTTGTAGCTCGGCAGAGTGGGCGGCAGCAAAGAGCGAGTGGGGGCGGTAGGGCATGCCGCTACGAGTCTGCCGAGTAGTCCACACGTGACTATTGATCATTACACGCTGGTTTGCGCGTCGGTTCAAAGCGGACAGCAGGAGATGCACTCGTTTGTGAATTACGGTCCCTGCGCGACTTTCCAGGTGAGTCGATGTTTTGCTTTGTTTGTTTTGTTCAACTATTTTTTTTTTTTAATTTGAGAATGAACGTTGATGATTGTCATCGTATTCGCGGGGGGGGAGGGGGGGGGGTGATATAAGTAAACACCTTTCGTTTTTTAAAAACAAAACAAAAAAAACTAAAGCAATTAAAAAAACACAAAAAAAACGAGTTAGAGGTGAATTTTATAATATATTTATTACCTGATTCTAAAATATCTCGTTCGTTTCCCCCGAAGATGTAACTAAACGCGAGAAAACACGAAAAACCTCCGACGAGTCGTTACGTCATACCACGATTTTTCGGCCGCCAAGCGCGTGTCGCTCGAGCGTGCCGCGCGTGCAATTGCAAGCTTGCGATCTCTTCAGCCCAGCGCGCGCATGTCCGCCGCTTTGGAAAGCGAGCAAATCACGTACCTTACGCAGGATCATTGAAAATGGAACCGGCCAGGAGCCCTTTCTTGGAAAGGTCTAGTCGCGGCGAGAAGTTTGGGTGTCGCCGCCTGGTGGAATTCTTTCACAACTTAGACTGAGGATACTTCAACTTGCTCTGCTGGTGCAACCACGTGCAATGCCAAGCTTTTATACACCATGGAAATTAAAACAAAAACCGGGTTGGTAGAACGTGCACTACCCATCGTAAGGAGAACAGAAGCACCCCTAGCGAGCTTCTGATGATGTCTTTTCCTGACTTTTTTGAAAATAGCAAGAGTGCGCGTGCATGCATACCTTTGATGGGTGCCGAACATTCGCGAGAGCGGAGATCCCGAAAACTCTGGATGTGACATAACGCTCCGGGAAGGAGAGGCTTCAGCAGTACTTTGAAAATAATTTTCTGCAGCCTCTATACACCAAATTGAAACGTAATCTTGATATTCGTGATCCTGGACGCCAAATGAAGACGATTTTAGTGGTTTTCATCAAATACAGTACCGCTTCAGTTTCCCTTTAAGTGTGCTTGCATTCTCGGGTATTTCCGTGAAAGTTGCCTGAAAGCTGCGAGAATGTCACGTGGGAGATTTCTCCTGGAGGTACCAGCTCGTGGGCGATATGGAAGGACATGTATGTTGCATGGAACGTAACTACAAGTCATAACAGATGAAGGAGACTTAGGACGTGCAGAGAGGAAAAGAAGGTAACGATGTTTAAAATAGTACACACAAAAAGAAAACACCGAAGTAATATCGATTCGCTTCATATGAAGGCTGACCTCTTACTGCGTTATAGTATATTGTATTGTTGTGCGACGTTCTCGGATTATTGTGACTGTAACGTTGAGGAATATTCGCTGCCATAAACTAGCAATTAACGCAGAAAAATGATTTGGGAAGACTCAGCATCACGGTGTCAGCGTGTAATTGTGCCATTTCCAACTGCGCAGCCGCTTGAATCTGGACAGTTGGCAAAAACGTCGGCGAGGGATTTGACCGCAATGATTGGCCGGCGCCAAGGTCAAGTGCAGTACTGGCCAATCACGGACGTCGGATTCTTCGCCGACGTTTTCGCCAAGTGCCCAGATTAGAGCCTCAGGGAGAAACGTGGGTGAAAAGTTGTCCTGAGTAGGCGTGGAAAAATATCCCAGGAAAATACCTTACAAACTTTCATTTCAAGTAAAAAACATATATGAAAGCTCTAGAGTCGAACACAAATCACATTCAAATTCTGCTTTGAGAAATAAACTAATTGGTATTTATTTCGCACTACTTCAAAGGGGGAAAAAAGGAAAGCTTCAACCCGTTAATAATGTCCCCGTTTGTGATTGACTGTCGTTTTAAATAAAACAACTTAAAAAAAAAATGCTCGCGATGCTGCAGTGACATTTTCGTCCTGAACACCACGAATGCGCTATGATGATGCTGACTGGGAACTTCGCAAATGCGTTTCCTTTCTTAAAAAAAAAAGCAAAAAAAAAACCGTTTTGTTTAAAACCGCACACACATTTACTAATGAAGATGTTGAAGATGCAAGAGAAGATGTGTGAGAAGGTTCGAGATCTGGATCTCATATTGCAGGAGTGATAAGATCATATCGGCAAACGATTGTTATGGAGAATTTGTACGTCACGTCTTATAAACCCGATACACAATATCATGTTCATAGGGGTACTATGCAACGTTTATACGACATGGTGTATATAACCTTTTAAACGTGTACAGTACGCGGAATATGGTCCGAAAAGAACAGTACATAGAGAAGAGTCACGTCGGCTACCGGGAACAGCCCCATTTCCTCACTGAAGATCTCTGCAGGTTATTTACAACTTTGGAATCAGATAACGGCAAGCTCCAAAACTCTGGTACCTGGTCCGGACCTCTACCGCTACATTTTACCGGAAACTGAACATTCGGGGACGAGTAGTGAATTTTTGTGGCGATAAAACCCTCGTGAGCCTGACATCCGGTCTTCATGAGGGCTTCTAAATGCTGCCATTTTGCAGCGTTCGTGCGTTTAGCGCTTGGCGTGCTTGATTTCAGAAGCTACGAACACGCGCGTGCTGGGCTGTTAATCGGTAAACATTGAAATGGCGGAGTGTGGAGGCAACGTTCTGTTGCATTTAAGCAAAACAAAACGGGAACGGTGCGATGGCTTCACTGCCAGAGAATGTGGTCCCAAAGTATAAAGGTGTCATAGCAAGCTCCTGGCTAATGGTGGAAGACCGGCCACTGCGACATTTTTGGTCGCGGAAAATGGCCGAACAGCGCACATTGGTGCGACGGACTTCCTTGGCTCCGTCCTGGAGTTGGCTCCCACCTGTCGCCAACGGCAGCCAAGCCTCTTGTCGCGTTGGGCACCGGCGCGGGCCAATGACGCTAGACAGAGTCATGCTCAGATTCCCGAGACCAACCCTTGAAGCATCCGACGGGCGGTGGCCTTCGTTGAGGGCTCTAAACACAAAAAGGACGTCTTCCGGAAACCACGAGAAAATCTGTGACCGCCAGCCCTCGCGAGGAGAAACATCGGCGTGCGTGTGCGTGTGTGTGTGAGGGGGTCTGTCGGTATTGTGTTTCAGTTCGAGCGGCAAGAGCGTCGATACCTTGCATCAGACGCCGGGGCATGGCAAGAGCGGCGGGTTACATCATCTGCCCCTCGATGAAAAAACACAGGGCAATTGCATCATGCCGCCCCCTAACTCCGAACACCATGCACGTGAACACTCCGGGGAAGGCTTCTCTCTCTCAGAGGGCCTTCTCGCCCTCGGAGGGCTATATATGTAGGGCTCAGGGAGGCCGAAGGCGCCGATTAAGCAGTCGACCGTGCTACCTGCATATTCACTGAACATAAAATTTCTACTTCAGTAAACTCAGTCCAGGTCTGTTTCCTCGGGGCTATGCGATCAGCAAGCCACAGCCCCGACTCTTGGTTCCCTACTTGAGATCGTCCCCTACCAAACCCAACAACATGCGTAACTTTGATCGGCACCTATGAGCCGCAGGCACAGAATCGTCCATATATTTGACTACAATGCCTCTCTTCTAGCGTATTCAGATGCCTAAAGCTGGAGGGTGGTGGTAATGAGATTAATGACTTGTAAATCTTGTAAATAAAAAAATAAAATAAGGTGAGTGGGACCATGAGCTAAAATCTTTTCTGGGTGGTTCAGCAGTGCAGCCATTTAAATGGACGTGTAAGAAAATATAAAAGCTTTTGTAATTAAAGTTTCTTTGTTTTAAGACTGCGAGAACAATCAGAAAGCTAGCGTATCTTTTCAGAAAAGTTGACGTGTGTTTATTTTTCTTTACATTACGCGAGTGGCGTTCCCCAAGCGAAGGCAGGATTAACGGCGAGATGCGTGGACCTGCAGTAGTGAGTTTGTAGTGCCCTCCGCGCGTCTACAGTGCTATTATATGCCACCCCGAACGCCTCTGTGAAACGACCTTTGTGGCGGCATAACTCTGCTCACCAGCTTCACATTACTATCTGTCCACGGTCGTTTTTACCGCCTTCCTATAAAGAACGTCGCCGCCGGTACCATAATTATTGTGTCAGTTTTTGCTGGTTCTAGAGGCTGTGGAGCCCGCTTCTATAAATATTATTTTTGACTTTTTGATGAAAACGTGTTGGCATCTTGTTGACTCTAATTACTTTCTTTTTTTTTTTTTTTACTTTGACATCTTGACATGGTGAACAGAAAGTTTGTTGACTTTGTGTTGAAACTTTTCTGGAGATTTTGTTCAGCCTGAGTCAAAAGAAAAGCTGTTGACTTTCTATTAACTTTATGCTGTTTTTTTTTTCTGCTGACTGTCTGTTGACAGTGTAATCAGAATGACTCCAGACGTTCTGTTTACTTCACGTTGAAAATGTTCTGTGGACTCTGTAGCCAGTGTCAACAGAAAAGCTACAGACTTTCTGTTGACTTTTTATTGAACATTGTACACCTCGACTAGATGTCAAAAGTCGCTAAGTTTCTAAATAGTCTCTGACAAGGCGAGAACGGGAAGCAGCTTCTGTTGTCCCGCCTTCAGCGCAAGCCTACTACCCTTGACAACGCTTCGGCGTTCGTGCACCTCGACCGCGCGCGTGCAGTCAAAGCACGACGGAAGGCATGGGGCGCGTGTTGAATGACAGGCGTTCGGAATACACGCCCTGCCGTTCTTAATTTGTAAGTAACTATAGTGACTTTGATGATTATATTAAATAGTCAACTAGTAAGGAAAGCAAAAAAGTGGAGAAACTGTCTTGACTCGCTTCTTCCTGAGTGGTGCTATGCAGAGAAGCGATAATATTTCTTCTAGGAGCCATTCTTATGGATGGTGTTTTAGCGACTGCGCCGACTTATTGTTCGCTTATCATCATTTTTATAACTTTATAGTTAGCTTTTATAATTATTATTAGCCCCCCTCCCCCTCATACAGCATTTTTTCATGCCTGGATTGTCCTGGCTACGTGCCTGGTTTGTGTTTGTGTTCGTTTCTAATGTGTAGTTGTGATATACATGTAGTAGTTCCCTACGCTGCACGCTGCGCACGTGGCCGTCTACGAAGACCCCATAAGCCGTCAGTGTCCCTGCCGGGAGATTAAGGAAATGCGCGAAGCCACAGTGAACGTTTGCCGCCTTGACTGGCCGTCTTTGGACACTTTTTACAACTCCTCCGTTGAGGCTGTCCGGCAGAAACCCTTCAGGGTCGCTTGTGGTGTGCGCAGGAGTCGTGCCAGGAGATGAGCCCGAGCTCGTGGTTCGGCCAAGGGAGCTCCGGACTGGCTCCTTCGCCGGCGGCCTACCGGGGACTGTACGCACTCACGGTACGCTGGCAGCAGCCGCTGCCCAGAGGAGACCACCAACGGAAGTCCCACTCGCCCTGCCTGCAGGAGCCCAGCCTGCTTCCCAGAGGTATGTACACTGCTCGTCGACGCTCGTGGGCACTATCAATTCAGTCGATTCTACTGGAGCCTAAGGGATGGTTTACAGAATTGCGTTTGACTAGGACCGACTGCGCCGCAAACGGTTTTTAAGCCTCTGTGGTTGCTTACGACCGACGGCTCTGCTGGGCAGCCAGTGTTAAGCAGTGACAAGAGGCTTAAAAACCGGTTGTAGCGTAATCGGTCGTAGTCAAATGCAAGTGTGTGAACCAGCGCGGGTATTATTGTAGGGAAGACAACGCTTGAATCTATTGGATACTAATATTAGAAGTGAACCACCTCAAAGCAAAAGCATCGCATGGTATATTGACTTTCAGGCCCGTCAGAAATGTTTGGGAGATAGGCGGTGGGGGGGGGGGGGGGGGATTCCCTCCTCTCCCTTTCCCCCACCCAGTATTTGGGGATGTGACTCTGCTCCGACGCCACTGCTGACAATTTGGTACAATATTCACAGCATCGAACTTACTTGGGTGCAAAACAACGTGAAAGTCAGTCTCCAATCTTCTGTACAGCACCACTCGTTTTACAAAAACATACTTTAGGCTATAGGAAATTCTGGCGCGCGCGCAAATGCCTGCAAAAAATATAAGCGTTTTATGAACGAAAAAAAAAAAGCCTCACCTATACTTTGACTCAAAGTAAGTGGCATTGGTGGAAAAGCAAAGTCCCGCAAATCCCCACGGGTGTGGGATCTGTAATTCACGGATATAATTAGGCTCAAGAGCGGCCTTCCTCATTTGCTTCTATTCATAGGAACAATTGGAGCCTTTTGAACACTGTACCGAAGAGTTTCTATCACTATTAGCTTAGTTCGCAGCCGGCTTAAAATAGAAGGCCTTGATTTGACGTTATGTACTTCCACAAGTTTTAACTTCCCGCGCCGGTTTCATCAATTTCAGCTCAGCTGGGATGCTGCCATCATAATTACTAGCTTAGCGGAATGTGCGCCTGTGCTGGACCATTTTGATGTATGAAATATTGGCGTCGAACACTCGTTAAAAGTTCATTTATAGAAACGCGACACAGCGTCGATGTATCGTGCGACGTCTCGACGGGGTTTAACCGTATCTCGCAATGCGTGCGGCATAAGCATGCCGTTGCTGATGCGCAGCTCGTTACCCATGTACCTATACTGTGAAGGTGGAAGAACCTTACATTTTTAGGACTTTTATGAACCAAATGCAACATTCAAACGTCAGGGTTTTGTGAGTCGACGGAGTGGCTCCAGGAACTTTATTCCAATAGGTGCCATATGGAGAAGCTATCCCTCATAAACCACGTCGTTTATATATATATATATATATATATATATATATATATATCATCTAAAACAAGAAAATCACAAAAATTAAATATATATATATATATATATATATATATATATATATATATATATATATATATATTTAATTTTTGTGATTATATATATATATATATATATATATATATATATATATATATATATTCTTTTTTTAATTTTTGTGATTTTCTTGTTTTAGATGTACGAACACTTTGACACTTCATTGGTGCAACTCTGCGCGCACGTCACCAAATGTTAGCAGAACTATGTGTTGTCCTTCCTATCCCGTCCATGAACTGAAAGTTGTCCGCGTCAAAGGAGCCGGCTTGTCATGCTGTCGGATGCTGCGATCCTAGCGGCGAGCCGTAGAAACTCGGGCCAATAAGTCGAGCGGACGCAAGGCCGTTTTCATCGAGGCGTCCCATCCCGTGTCTGCATTGGTTTCCAACTGTTGTATGGCTGGCCACGGCTGGACTGGAAGCGCGCGCTCTCTTTTTCTTCTTACGGCCTTTGCAATTGGGGCAATCGCCACCTCCCGTCGCAATTCGCGGGGGAGGGGGGGGGGGGGGGGGGTGGGGGGGGGGCGCTGTCACCTCACCTTTGGGCTACCCTTTGCCGTTTGCACAGAGCGCGTCTGACAGTGTATCGCAATGCTGTCTCAACTTGCGGCCGAGATCTTTAGAGCCTTCGGCACCTGATCCTTACGTTCAGACCCTCAGCCACTATCTACTGCGCTTCTGATGAGCCCAAAACGGTGAATATTTGACGCGCATCTCCGAGAGATTCGGGAGTAAAAAGCAGTAAGTAGAGACAGCGAATGCGAATGCGTAAAAACTATACTCGTCTTTACCTCCAGGACTTCTGTTGCAACTCAATAACAGGAGGAGACGGACCCCTTCTAAGTGGAGGAACTTTAAATGATAATAATTCGTACACTCTCGTGAAATGTAAGCGGGCCCAATCTATCTATTGCCGCGGTCTGCATCATCATTTCATAGGCCGCACACGAACTCGGTCAGCTGCTCTAGACGAGGGTGTAGTAGTCTGTACAATTTTCCCACAGTGCATATTACAACCTGAAGTGCTTCCTCGAGGGCTTGTGCACATATCCAGCTCACTTTTCGTTTCTGTCCGTGACCGTCTTTGCATGATTAATCAGAAGTATTCTGAGGAACTTGTTGCAAATTAAACCAGCCAAGCGCTTTGAGTGGCTTTTGTTCATGCCCTCTGGACAACTTAGGATTGGCGCGTCTTCAAGATAGGGTGCAATGAGTATTTGCAGAACTTCGTGCACATTTGACTTAACTGACTTAAATCGGAGCGAAGTTCAATAAACCATTGCCAAAACGACAACCTACAAAGCTCGAACACCAACGCAAAGCCGCGAAGAGACTCTCCGAGTGGGGTGAAGTGGGGTGAGGTGGTTGCGCCCCCGGCGGAAAGCAAGTGAACTACATACGGAAAAAAAATGCCATTGACTCCCGGGCGATTGCAAAGGCCGTAAATGAGAAAGAGAACGCGCTTTCAGCACTTTCAGTCCGGCCGTGGGCTGGCAGAGGGCTGCAGAGCAGCCTGCAGCAGAACAGGCGGCGTCTGTCCCCGCCAGGACGGTGACAGGCAACAGCATGAAATTTTAATGGCGCCATCAGACCGAAATCGAGGGATCACTTTGGAGGTACACTAGTCGGAGACCGAAGCAGAGCGTCAGTCCGTTCGATTGGGGGTGGATGACGCAGCCTCGTTCGGCCGACAACAGATGTCAGGAGCGGTCCACAAGGCGGAGCTTTCGTGCCGGTCGAACATTGTGCAATGTGTGCTCAAGCTCTCCATGGCGCGAAATGCGAATGCCTAGACTTCTGGCTTGAAAAACAAGATTCACTAAACGCTCAAGTATGTTAGGAATAAATGAAAGGCGAGTTTTAAGTCAAAGTGAGAGTGTGGGAGGACGCATCAACATATAGTATTTTTGTTTGCCCATGAACGTATTGAGACCCGATGGGTAAACGTAGACTTGAGCGTTCAAAAACCACATTGAAAGCAGACTTTTAGCATCCGCATATTTAACTATGTCATTTATAGTACTGACTCTATTTCCACCCTCTGAAACTGCGCTTATGCGTATAAGATCTAGTTAACTCATGCAACTGTCACCATCACAAGTCGAGGTACATGATGAGTCCTCTAAGGTTTTTTTTCAAAATTGCCAAGGGGGGGGGGGGGGGGGGGGGGACGTACAAATTATTGGGAGGGGCTCCGGGAGGTGTATACCATAGGTTTGAGTACTTTACGCAGGAAACCATGGGGGTGTGCTGGACTCAGCCCGGGGTTGTGTTAGGGTGTGACGGAGAGGGAGGTGGTTAGAAACAGCGGCGGATGTACGTACATGACCTCAGAGAGATCTGACGTCACGGACGGATGTGACGTCACCGGGTGATGTGTCGCTCATATCTATTAGATTGACCTAACATTTGTCATTTCATCAAAAACAAAAAAGCATTTCTTCCAAAAAAAGAAAAAAAGCTGGCGTATGTCGTTTTTTTTTTATTAAAAACTTGTTATTGAGGAGCACAGAAAAGGCGGTTGCCCCCTCCCCCAAGATATCCGCCCCTGGGTATAAATAACTAATTTACGCGTTTATGGAAAGGGCGGAACATTGGCTCTTTACTTTCATGGTCACACGTCATCTGATGGACGACGGCGTTGTCATTATCAGTTTTTCCCGCTCAAGGCTCATCATCCAATCCCCGCCTTTTGTCGCAGACCCCCGCCAGTGGAGCCGCGAGCACGTGGCAGTGTGGCTCGTGCACGTGATGGCCCAGCACCAGCTCCCGGCCGTGTCTCCCGACCGGTTCCTGATGAACGGCAAGGCGCTCTGCCTGATGAACATGGAGATGTTCGTGCAGAGGGTGCCGCTAGGCGGGAAGCTGCTCTACAAGGACTTCCAGCTCAGGCTCAGCAATGTCCTCTACAACTGAGAGCGGTCACGTGCCATCCGCCGGGACATCGCCACTACTTGCGCCGGATTCCTAGTCAGACAGTGTATGACGGTTATACAGTGCTGTGCACTATCTCCTCCGATGGTCAACGTTTCACCCGGGCCGTTCTACGAAAACGAAGTTGTCCTAGCAGAGAGTGCTCAAGTCGTCGGTTAGTGGTCCTCTATAGATTGCGCGAAGCACTTGGATCTAAACAGAGTCCCAAATCACGCTGCTATAGTACGTCATAGAAAAGACGGTCTGCAGACACTAGGGAGTTTTAGGGAACCGTTTTTCCATACCCGATATGGTACAATGGGCCCTCCGGTACAAACTGCGCGTATGCAAGTCTTCTGCGGCAGCGCAAGCGCAGTTCGTACCGGAGGGCCAATCGTACCATATCGTATGTGCAAAAACGGTTCCTTCATACTCTCTACCGTCTGAGGTGTATTTATTCCTCGAATGATGGTCCCGTCACGTCGGCCATAAAAAGTCTGTCTGCGGACATGTTAAAAAAATACAAGCATATTAAGCAAACGTGCGTCGAGCGTGCTTGTGGTGTTTTCGAAAATAATTCTGTCGTCATGTCTGAAGCGAATATTGTGCATTTTGTACGATGGATTGAGCAGTGCGATAGCGGCTGAAAAGGCTCCAAATAACTACGGCGAGAGAACACTCGAAAATTACCGTGGTCTCTCAAGAATGCTTCGCCCATCATAGACACTGCGTCGGCGATGTGCTGTATGGCAACATGCTGAGACGAGACTGTTGTTTGCGCTTTGCAGATGACCGAGATCCCTCGTTTCGTCTCAGTCTCTTTCTGATCGTAGGAGGTGGTTTGTGCATGTCATTGAATAGACCCCTTCAAAAATTGCCTCCTCTTACAGTCGACATGAAAATACTGCAAAGTAGAATGCGCAAAGCAAAAACAACATAAATATGGCAGGTCTCTTGGAAGTGAGTGTTATATCAGTTACAAACTTGTGCCAGCCCGTTAGTGTTGTTTGTTTTTCTTTTTTTTTCTTTTTTGCGCATGCCATTTTTGCAGAATTTTCAGATTGATTGTAAGAGGGCGTAAATTTGTAAAGGTGTCTATAGAACTTTTAAAGAAATAAAGGCTCCTGGCCGGTTCTATTTTTAGTGTTCTTGCGTAGGGGGCGTGGTTTGCTTGTTTTGCGAAGCGACGAACATGCGCGTGAGGACTTGTAAATATTGGAATGGTGTTTAAGAGGGAAGGAAAACTTGCTGGAGTTTTTGTTCGATTCGAGGTGTATGGACTCTGGCATCTGAAGATTGCCTAGATGCTTGTAATGTGCGTAGTTATGACAGAAATCTACGCGCAAGCGCGTGAGAAACTGCGGATGAAAATCCCGACACTTGCACAATGGCCGACGTCCCGCCTATGGGGGTGCACTATCATTCCGTCATTTATTTTTGATGATAGATACTTCCCCCGTCATTTCTGTTTAATCAACCCGCACACCAACAACTGTACATGATGTAAAATTCATTTAAGTTTTTATGTATATATGAATAGAAAGAGAAATAAGTAATTACTGTCTTGGCTTCAGCGCAGTTTGTTTACCTTCTTTCACCTTATCGTCTGTCAGAACGTAAATTTTTATATACCACTATTCTTGCACTTGTGTTCTCATGACCCTTGTGAATTGCACTCCATAAACACCTGAAGCGTCGGTGGTCATCTTTATTACTGGGAGGGAGCTGTCTTTTGTCCGTGCGTACAGGGCAATGTACGGGCAGCTCAAGTTTGTTTCTTGTATCATTTCATGTTATTTATTCATCAACGAGCGTCTTTATTATGTAATTAAATAGTTTTCAAACAAACATGCGCGCAAACTTTGTTTTCTTTTCGCCTTTTAAGTGAATACTTTATACAGATCGAGCAGTCCTGTGTTAATCTTCAGTACAGTCACAGTGATATAGCTGCGACATGTCACGGCGAGGTGGTTAGGGATTGACGTCGCGTTCACACACCGAGAGGTGCGTGTAGAAAAGAGTTCGGAACAAAATAGACATCGTAGCATAGCCTCCTCTATATGTTGAAAAACAGCGCGACTGGGACGAGGACACACAGAGACGAAGAGAGCACAAGACAAAGCGCTGACTAGCAACTGGTTCGTTATTACACCATAAGGAAGAATGACAATGAAATGAGAAACATGGAGTCAAATGTTCGCGCGCTTGCTTGGCGCCTCGTGGAATATGCCCCTTTCTTCTTTTTTTCTTTTTTCATCCGATTGTAGTCTGGTGTTCTTCTTCTTTCCTCAGGAGCTTGGGTTACCCTGAATTTAAAGAACTTCATATACCAGGAGGCCGCCCTTGCCTTGCACACGTAGATAGCAATGAGCGATGATAACATGGCAGGGTTGGAAAGACAGTCGTGAGAACATACAAAAGAGCCATTTGTAGAAGAAATGAAATTGATAAGGATAGATAACTGGGCGAGTTGGTGAGAGTTCGTGTTGAAAAACATTCAGGGTAACCCAAGCTCCTGAGGAAAGAACAACACCAGACTACAATCGGATGAAAAAAGAAAAAAGAAGAAAGGAGCATATTCCACGAGGCGCCAAGCAAGCGCGCGAACATTTGACTCCATGTTTCTCATTTCATTGTCATTCTTCCTTATGGTGTAATAACGAACCAGTTGCTAGTCAGCGCTTTGTCTCGTGTTCTCTTTGTCTCTGTGTGTCCTCGGCCCAGTCGCGCTGTTTTTCAACATGAACTCTCACCAACACGCCCAGTTATCTATCCTCCTTTATACTCACAAAGCCTGGCAGTTTGACGACGGAGCCACAGAGTGCCCGGTCGCAAATTCGGAGCGCGAGGATCTGGTAGCACAGAGCATCAAAGAGCCATTTCTCGGAGAACCTGGACGTCAGCGCACAGCTCTGGCAGCGGCAAGGACCCGAAACACACCTGTTCGCTCGGGAGAAGTGTGTTTCCGCGTCTCGCCGCAGGGAGGCGCCACACTCTAAAAAAAGCCCGTGAGTCTGCTTTCCCGCACAATACTCGGAGAGCCAATCACCGCAACTTACAGAGGCAGCTCAGCGAATGACAATGCTGAAACATATGTTTAGACCAAAAAACGCAGTCTGAGTTGTGACATTAAGCGATGCAAGCGTGAAGTTTTGAATTGCTTAATGTCACAACTCAGACTGCGTTTTTGGTCTAAACATGTTTCGGCATTGTCATTCGCTGAGCTGCCTCCGTAAGTTGCGGTGATTGGCTCTCCGAGTGTTGTGCGGGAAAGTAGACGCAAGGGCTTTTTTTAGAGTGCAGTCACGTGGCTCTCCTCTCATCCGTTGTCTGCCACTCCACCGTTTCCATTTCGGCGGCTGCTTCTCGGGGCGATCTGCCAGGCTTCGTCAGTAGATAGGAGGCTATGCATCTGGCCATTTTGTTCCGAAAGCTTTTGTTTCTTTTTTTGCTCCGAAATGCGTGGAGGCGCGTCTCCCCGCACGAGCTCTTGGCATTGACAGCGCTACGACGGCATTTTGTGAACGGCTATTTTGGTTTTCCAGAGAGCGCGTGCAGTGGGCATCGGGTAATACGAAAACCCTCAGCGTAAAGCCGTAGCTCTTTGGTAAATCCCCCGGTGCGCACGCAGCGCACCGAGGTTCGAGTCCCGCGGGCGGTGGGCTATCTTTTTCGACGGTTTGGAAACATCGACATCGGTCGCCACATAGATTTTTGCCACCGGGCGCCAAGATCACAGATGGCCTGATGGCAAATCCCAACTCTGATCTCCGTCAGCGACACGACGACGTGTTGTTTAATACGTTGGTTTAACGAAAGGTCTCGGGTATCACGAGTACAACCAGAGACGAGTCCGGCTCCCCAGTCCGTCTCTCTCTGTTTCCCTATTTCCCCGTCGGTTAAAAACAACCCTTGGGAATCCTCGCTGGCTTCCTTTCCCTCGGTGATGTCACCTCATTCGTCCATCACGCTGCAAGTCCGTCCCTCCACACTCTCTCCTGGTCATAAAGCTCACTATTGCACATTGCACGCGTCACGGAGGGCCCAAGCACGCAGCCCGAGGCGCTATCCCCAGGCGTCCCGGAGCCGCAGAGGTCAGCTTCCTCTTTTAAAGACGCTCGACGAGCCGGAGTCAAACCCACACAGAACACAAACCCGCGTCGGCAAAAGGCGGGTTCGAGCTTCGGCGTAGTTGGCAATTGCTTTTGGTCTCGGGTGTCTCGCCGCTTCAGCCTCGTCGCCCCAAAGTCTTTGGCTGAGCACGTCGGCCGCGTGTGCTGCCTTTGCCGATAGCGCGCGCAGCACTTGAAGCAGCAACAGTTCACTCTTCGCCGGGGTCCTCCCTGACACAGCGTTCGGGGGTACCCCAACCATTAGGAGAATTATAGCCTTCCCCGCCTCACGGCAGCGTCGTGAGACGGTTTGACTGAACTCCAGCCCCGCGGTGTCTAAGAACGGCTGACAGACGCCCTACTACTACAACATCAACAGCTACATCAACAACGGACGTCATTTCCAGTGAGGGGAAGAGCCTTAAACGTTATCGATGTAAAAGGTAGTAATCTGTTCGCAACCCTTTGCATTGCGTAATATGCCACAACGCGGACTACATTTTCAGGTCTTAACAGATGTTCCGGCTCAAGATTTGCTGAGCTGATTTCCTAGATCGCAGAGATTGACTCTTTGAGTGTTTTGCGGTTAAGTAGACGCACAGGCATTCCTTAGGGTGTAGCATGAAGCACGCAGATACACAACTTGATATGAGTGGTACGAGTGAACTTTAATGATGAGGTTCCATTCCTTCGGACATAATGAATGAGAAATCAAACAAATAAAACTTGAAATCGACAGAACTGCTCTTAAATTTTATCATTTTTTTTTACGATGGGCTATAGTTGCAGCAATGCAGAGGGCAAGTTCGTCTGCTCCTTGCGCAGGGGGTAGCGGTGACGTCAGAACGCCGAGCCCTGGTTGGCTGATCGAGCCCCCCTATCTGAGCGTCGTCTGCTTCTTTGCAATGTCGTCTGCTCGCAACGTCGTCTGCGTCTGTCTTACGTTTCCTGCGACTTTCGGAAGTGCAGAGGCCAGATTCACGAAACGATCTTACGCCAAAAATGTGCGTAAGCCATAACTTAAGAACAAATTCGTATTCACGAAACGAAATTTTCGTACGTTTTGCGCAGGTTACGGCGAAATCCTACGACAGCTCCGAAGCTGTCTTACGCACTTCTTACGATCAAGTCAGCATGGCCGACAGCGTCGCGGTCGCGACGACCCACGGACGTTTATTTTTCTACGTGAGCTTCTCACGCGTCCTGACTTCAAGCAGCAAAAAAAAAGTAAACATTACTTGAAACAGAGCACGACGAACAAGAACGCTGGATCCACAGACACCGGGGAAAAGCTCCAACGGCGACGATTCCACCGAACGCGACCAAACGAGCTGGGCAGTTAGGCCTAGCAGGCACTCCGCGACTCGGCGACCGTCTGCCCACGACCGGCTGACGTGCTGAATGGAATATGCCCGCGCGACCCTTGTGAACCCTTCCCGTGTTATACTTTGATCGCTGACCTCAATTTTAGATTAAGAGGTTAATTTCTTCCTCTTGTTATCTCCTTGTTTCCCGAGGCAACGGTGACTTTCGCCGGTGAAAAAGCGGCGAATCTCCGACAGACGCAGGAAAGGTAAAGCAGCCATCGCTTTGACTAGCAGACGTAAAGCAGACGACGTTAACTGCGCCAACCCGCCGGCGCCGTTAAGAGGGGTCTCGCCGCACACGAATGGAGGTAAAAAGTATTTGGGGGGGAACTTGCGGACACTAAGCAAACAAACCTCGGCGCCCCGGGACACCTCGCCAGTGAGTCCTTTGACTTCCCTCCTTGATGCGCGTCTGCTAGTTGTTAGACGAAAACAACGTACCGCTCGATTTATTTCGTCTGCCGAGTTCGCTCCGAAAGTCGCAGGAAAGGTAAGACAGACGCAGACGATGTTGCGAGCAGACGACGTTGCAAAGGAGCAGACGACGCTCAATAGGGGGTCGCGATCAGCCAATCAGGACTCGGCGTTCTGACGTCACCGCTACTTCCTTTCTCATGCGCAGAAGACGAAAATGAGCCCACTTGCGAGGCGTATAGGCTGGCAGGTCCAATCAAAAGCCAATTAAAAAACACGTGATATATATTCCTCCTACGCGAATATTAAAATGACGCTAATGGGCGTACCTCGAAATGTCCCATTCGCACTTCGCCCTTTCTCAATTCGCCCCATTCTGGTTTGGACGTTCTCGTTGTAATCCTTTTAAAACATAGAAACCGGTTTCTTTTTTGTTTTTTTTTTCTTTTTACTTTATTTGCATTTGGTTTTGTTCGTACTATGACTCAATGACACCTTGTACCTTCTCAGTCCTGGAGTGACACCGACGCTCGTAGAGTCTGCTGCAGTCCACATTAATTTAAAAAAAAAAGAGTATGAAGTTTCTGTGTTTGTGTGTGTGTGTGGGGGGGGGGGGGGGTAGGTGGACCCTCTTGCGACCCAGGAAAAGAAGTACACACGAAGCCGTGCATTGACACGAAGGAGCAGTTCGGTATTTTCTTGCCCAGAGTCTGCGACCACTTCCGGGCAATCTAACGAGCGGGTCCTGGCCATTGCTGCTTGTTTCAGAAGCAGAACGGACGTATTCCAGGAACCATCAGCCAAACCGCGGAACCGACGCACGTGTGTCTGTATGTGAGCGCGTGCGTGTCGAGTATAGACAGTTACAGGTTAAGAAACGTTTTCGAGGGAAAGGAAGGCTGAGAAGGAAGAAGTGGGCGGAACGCTGGAGAACGGAGGGTGCTTCCTCTTCTCT